GCTGAAGCAACTGCAAACCTTCATGTAGAAAATTTTGATGGTAATTGGACTTTTATTCTGTTTATCATTAACTGTTGCTTTTGATAGAGAAATCTAGGTGGTGGATGGAATAGCTTTTTTCGTGTTATTGACCTTTATGACGTCTCCTGATATTTTGGCAAGAATGGAGAACCCACTGATCTCTCAAGCTGCAAATAACTTCAGGAATTTGAGGAGGAGAATACTGCTTGCTTTCTCTATTTATTGCATAGATATTTGTAGAGTTGTATGTTATAACTGTTAAGATAGTATTCCGGGAGACTCAGTCAACCAAAGCTCATGTTGTGGCCATATCTAATGCTGCTGCAAGAAATGCTGAGCAGCCTTAACCAACTGACTTGAGGAATCTGTCAGTTTTCTTTTACATGTGCTGTTTCTGAATTTCTGTTCAGTTATTCTTTATGATTTTAGTTCCTACTCTGGTGTGCAAAACATATTTTCTCTTCGGTTTTCTTTTAGGTGGTTAGTTACCATCATTCTCGGAGAAGTGCCTTTATAATCTTTTGCAGTTAAGAGACTTTCTGATGATAAACAGAGAGAAGAAAATTTTTCTCAAGAAAAAATGTTCTAGAAAACTCAGAGATCAAAGATTCTCGCTGGTATCCCTTACTAACTCACCTAGATAGGTTATATAAGAAAGAAAGGCAGGGAATTCTGTTGTCTTTTCAGAGAAGGTGGGTTATTGCATTGAGAATCTTATATCTAAAAACCTATTAACTAGTGGCTAAATGGCTGTGGATTTTTTCAATGAATTTGTTCTTGTAACTTAAGGTGATTAGGAGTAAGTATAGATAGCAGAGGAATGACTGAGATTCTATAACTAGGAGTTGCTTGACTGATAAGAGCCATTGGAAAGCCATTTTGCAGCTCTATGAAATCTTAATCCCTTTTATCTGTTTGAAAGTAGTTGATGGGTCTCGTATATTATTTTGGGTAGACCCTTGGATTGGTGATTTATCCCTAGCTAATCTTTTTGCTTGCCTTATCCATTTTTCTTCTTGTCATAATGCTCACATCGGGTCACTTTCTCAATCTGTAAGATGGCTAAAATTCTTGGGGTTATCTTTTCTTTATGAAACTTAATTATCGAGAATTCATTGACTTGATCTTTCTGTTGAACATCCTTGCCCTTTTAGCATCTTTCCATATCTTGATAGTAAAATTTGGATCCTAGACTCCTCTAATCTGTAAACTTACAAAACAATTGTTTATTTAGAGAAAAAATTGTACACTTACAAGTCTTTCTTTGCTCACCTTACCCATAATTCCAGTTGCCCTAATGAGGCTTGCTGTAGTGCATTTTTAGAAGGCTAAAGTTTCTTGTGAGGTTGAAGTTTTTGTTTGGACTACTGCTTTGGACAGGCTCAAAGCTAATGATTTAATGCAGATTACCGTAAACTAAACATGCCCTTCACGTAGGTGTGTTTGCCATAATAAGACTTTTTTCTAGCACGTTTTGGAAGGAAAAGTTCCTTGAAAAATGAAGGTTTTTGTTTGGACTACTCTTTCGAATAGACTCAACACACAAATCAGTGGACCTAACCATGCCCTTTGTTCGGATATGTTTGTTATTAACTCAAGGCTAGTGAATCGTATAGAATGCTCGTTTTGCACTCTTAGGTGGCTTGGAGGCTTTGGTTTAGACTCTCTGATACTTTTAGTATCATGTGGGGATGAACTAGGGTTAATTTGCTTATTCATTTTTTGAGGATAAAAATCTAAATAGAGTGCCAATTAATCCTTCTCGAGTGAGATTAGACTAAAGAAATACAAAGAGTAATGAGATCCGAAAATACTATTTTCGATGAGATGAGAAATATTGCTACGACTTGTTGAGCCTTTAAGAATCTTTTCAGCCATCCCAATAGCCAGATTGTGGAATATAAATTCTAGAATCATCAGGTACATACACTTGCTAATCTTTTTTCCATCACACTATCAAATACCTTGACTATTACCATAGTCGCTTTATCAAGGTGTTCTGGCAAGTCAAGATTCTTTCTAAGGTGAAGGTGTTCATGTAGATTGCAATCTACGTCAGTTAAACACCAATTGACTGTAGCAAGTTCATGGGCCTAATCGGGATTTGTCTCCAGGCATTTGTGTGATATGCTGTATAGAAGAGGAAAAAATTGCTTCTATGTGAGCTGGCATGGAAGCTATGAATAAGGTTATCTGACATATTTAACCAACCTTGGATAACATCTTTTTCATTGGAATGCTTTGCAAATTCCAATTTTGGAGGCATAGGAGTAAGGAGGAAAGCAAGACTGCTATGGCACAGAGCATTATTTGCAGATCTATGGACAATTTAGTTCAAAATGAACCATTGAATATTTCACAATCAACCCTTCTCAGAGCTTTATTGTGTAAGGAAATGACTTTTTTTTGCTTCCCAATGGGTAAAGGCTTAGGGGAATTCTCTGACATCTCTTTTACTGTTCTTAACATGAACTGGGGAGCAATAACCACATGATCATTGGTGGTTCCATTTTGTCCTTAGCAATGTTATTTATGTTATTTTGTTTGTTTCTCGTATCCTTTCAGCATGATATGTTATCCTTTATTTTTGTAATGCTCCATTTTTAATATAAAAAAAGAAATACTAATACTAATGGAATCAGAAATAATAATACATTAATACAAATAAGAAAATAAATACTAGTAAGAGTAAAATTTTAAAAGTTATTAGGACTATAATAATATAGTCCTAAATAGTATAATAGTCTTATGTGTAATAGAATTATGATTTCTATTTCAGCAATCTAGAGTTAACCCACTCTACACCATCTTCTCTATGCTCCTTAAGGGAGTTGGGCGCATAAGGAAGATAATCTGCTCCTCTTAGGTGGAAAGAAGTTAGGTCCAACTTTTTTTTTCCCATACCTTACGTAATTTGAAAGTAGGGCTTATTGTTGAGCCACCCGGGGGTCTATTACACTATCAAAATAGGGAAAATCAAGAAAAAATTTTGCACCAGCACCTCCCTCTCTACGCTTCCATTGTGCTTGATTAACACTGCCTTCAACTCTTGTGTGCATCCCCTAGAGTTTCCTTGTTAGTTCTCTCAATTGCTTCATCAACTCCTATGTTACGAACTTGATACATGGTTCGAATCTGGAAGGTAAATGTTTCGGGTTTGAGAGAAAGAGAGAGAGTTACAAGGCCTAGAGAATGGAAACAGAGAAAGAGAGAGAAAAAATTTGAGGGAGATGATGAAAATACACACAAATAATTTATTTCATGCTTACATCTTCGAAACAGGTGATTATGTACAAAAAGATAAATGAAAATGCTCTGAATCTACCCCATTCCGCCAGAAACATGAGAGCCAGGCTCAAAAGAACCCTAAGCGGCGAAAATGCATCTGTCGAGTTCCAGAAAACACTAATCCCATTTACCTTGAATAACCCTCTTAATCGCCATCCATGAGTCCCGGAATGCAGATCTGGTGGCCAGGATCTTCTCCTCAAGCAACATAGATGCGTATCGGATCTTCCGGCTCAGAAAGCCACACATCCCAGGTTTCCCCGGTTGTCGCCACGTGTTTTAATCTCCTGGAATATACCTTTAGGTGATCGGTTTCTCTGCATTCAGTTCCACCATTTTCTTCATGCACCCGTTGCCATCCTCTGTTCTCCAGCTCATTTTCTTTCATTTGCAACTGATTCTCAACATCCTACTGCTTTGCCTAAGAGGTTGCACAATCTTTGTCCATTTATGTGATCATGCACGAGCTGGAGTACGATTCTTCTATTGTATGTTCAGGAAGGTCTCAAACTATATTGACAGTATAGAGGTTTTGCATTACTCCTTGCTTTATTACTAAGTTCTTATGGCCTCAAGTTTGGGATTTAGTTACAAGTCCGTTGACAGAAAACATTGGTAAGATTGGAAGTGTGTTAGAGTGTGTTTGACTTAATTTTCTATTTTTTGCTTTTAGTGAGGCCTCATTACAAAGAACCTCCCAATTTCTAAAGATGCAAATAACTCAAAGGATTTGACAAGGAAAACACTGCTTGCTTTCTTTATGCAATTCATAGATTTTTATTGACTAATGTTGTAATCACAAATTGAGCAAGTATAGCTGTAAAAGGGAAACAACATAAATCTATGAGCAATCATGAAAATAGGATAATATTTTCTGGAGAGACAATAGAAAAATAAAATAAAATCTGTTAGAGAGAAATCATTAAAAAGTAGATCAAATAAGCTTGGTCTCTGCACTATTGTATTCCTTTTTTAACTCTTATAACCAGCCCAGAAAAGAGAGCTAATATGATTGAATTCTTCTTGTTGTCGGGCTGACAGGAATCCACCTAATTTGTTTTATTTGTCTCTTTCCCCCTGTGTTTACAACTCAGAACGATATATATACATATATCTTTTAAATTTTATCATGAAAGATCTAAACAAGTTTTTCAGAAGATAATCTTACAGATAAACTCTTAAAAGACAGGAAGAAAGAGGGCAGTCTCCGGTTCTATAAACCAAAATTCAGCTATATCTTCTGTGATATGGATGGTAAGACCAAGTCTTCAATTTCTTGGAGTGGTTATGTTTGAGATTATCATCTAACAGCCTTCCTATTAAAATGCAAGGCACACTACTGAACAGCAAAAGTCAAATTACAGAGACAACTGCCAAAGCTTTGACTGAGGCTTTGTCACGGGGTGTAAAAGTGGTGATAGCCACTGGAAAAGTAAGCAAAGATGAGATTTTACACTGTCATTGTTGTTTATTTACTACGACGGCATCATTGAACAAGTGCATATATCTGGTCAACTAAAATATTCCTCCAATTCCTTGCAATTGGTTTTCCAATGAGTTTTCTGTCTGGTTAACTGTGGGGCAAATCATTTTTTTATTTTCTCCTTTTTCGTTCTCTCTGTGTTGGTTTCTATTAGATATGTTTCTTGCTTCGTGAAGAGTCTATTTGTGAATTGTTCATTTGATCTTGATCCTTGGAATAGACTCGTCCAGCTGTGATAAGAGCCTTGAAGATGGTTGGTTTAGCTGGTAGGGACGGCATTGTTTCTGAGTCTTCTCCTGGGGTTTTCTTACAGGTATTTTTGTCTTGTCCTGGGCAACTGCAAACTTGACTTTATTTCATATTTATTTTGTCCTTTTGAAGTTAACATGCTAAAAATCAATGATGACTTAGGCTGATCGAATAAGTCATATGCCTTTAGACATTTTGAACATTTGTGTATGAAAGATATTCTCTTAGTAGGTTAGTGCAATTCTTTCGAACTGCATAAGTTCGTGAAACTAGTTGTCTTATGAAGGTTGTAAATCCTTAAAGACCATTGTTCAAAGGGAGTGAGAACTAGTTGTTCGATAAAATAAATGATAACACATAAAGACTAAATTATGTACATATCCTATAATACTTGAGCTACATACATTCTAGGATACTCCTATTCCAAATCAGAGTCTTTTGTAACTATTAGAGAATCTCAATGGAGGAAACTAACATCTTATGCTCTTTACCCTCCTTCTCAAGCTGGAGAATATAATATCATGTGTGCGAAGCTTGTTACTGGTAAACCTAACATGAGCTTCTCTAATATTTTCTGAGCAAGTTAGCAAGATGGTTTGCAGACTTCACATGTGTAGTCCTAATCACCTCGTCTACAAGTTTTTTCAAATGAATTGATAGAAAATCTCAATATGTTTTTTCTGTTAGAAAAAATGACCCCAGCCAATTGCAAGCTGGTTATTGTGTAATAAATTGGTAGCTTCTTTTTTGGGATAAGAAAAGAAATATTATTAAAGAGATCAAAGATAAATTTAAATTATTGGGTGTTAAAAAACCCTCCCAAACAGAGAAAACAGAAAAAGCAAACACAAACAACTTTAAGAAATTCCTGAAATACATGTGAACCTTTGTCCAAAAAGAAGCCAAAAAGGTGATTCTGTTCGAAAGAATAGGAGGTAGAGAGCAATCCTTCTATACCTAGTCTTCAACCATAGCATCCTTAATCCAGCAAAAAAAGCTCTTATCTAAAGCACCAAAACCTCCTTCTTTACCCCAACACTCTTAGGGGAGGAAGTGATGAAACACTCAAGAGAAGATAGAGAAACCCACATGACACAGAAGTGTTCAAAACAACGAGAACCAAAATGTCCATGTCATCTCATAATGCAAGAAAGTTTGCCAATAAAATTTGGACTGCATAAAACATCTGATATATCCTAAGGCAGAGCACCAAAAGATCTGCGAGCTTGAAGCATATTATCTGTATTAAGTCTGTCGAGAACAATGCTCAAGGTAAAGACTTTAATTTTGAGATGGTGTAACCTTCCAAAACACTCTGTTGAAGACCACATTTTGGCAATTATGACCATGAGTAAGGTATCCAAAGAAGGATTTACGGGTATAATGCCCAGAATCTGAAGTAACAATTTTGTTACTTGGACTAAATGACAAACCTGAAGGCTCGTGGATGTTAAGGACAGCATGCCATTGATCATTAAGTTTAAGAAAAAGAACATATTCCAAGAAAGTCACCATCAAATTGACTAAGAAAGTGGCCTTCATTCACCAATGAAAGTAGAAATTTGAACATTGTGGCATGAGGAAAGATTATAAAGGATAGAAAACAACTACCTAAAGGAATCTCACTAGTTCAATTGTGTTCTTGAAAAAAAAAAAAGGACACGAGCCATCACCCACCCTTAAATGGGTTGGGGAGTGAAAATATCACAAAGCCAAGTTATGACTTTTTACTCCACAATTACTTTTAATCACCTTGTACCATATAGAAAAAGATTATGATGAAAAATGGTAGAACCATTTAGCCAAAGTGAAAGCTTTTTAAATCCTAACACCCATCCCACCCTCCTCTTAATGAAGGCAATACATACATTTCACCGAATGGTCTCTAGAAGCTTCACCCATCTTAAACCACAGAGATCTGTCATGATCCTCTTGATTCTTTCAGCCTCACTCAGAAACGGCTCAAAAAATGTTCTAACTTTAAATTGATTATGAATTAGAAAATGAACTTCTCTACTTGACTGCAAAATCAAGAGAGGCATAGTAACGAACCAGAAAATTTGCTCAGGAGTTCTATCAAATAGGTTATGGATAGACAATAGAAATACTGAAGAACTGATAATTTTATTATTCCCAGCCAGCAAATTTATACACATGCTGCCACCATAATTCCACGAAATCAGCAACTATATAACCATGATAAGCAAATCTCCTGAAGTATCTAACACTATCCACTAACTACAAGACTAGGACAATTAATTAACTAATTAAAAACAGGAAAAACATGTGACTAAATAAGCAAAACATGTGACTTACTAATTTCTGCATTATCTTTAACACTCCCCATAATGCAGAAATTTACAAGACCAATCATTTATTTAAATATTTTTTTTTTTGCCACCAATTCTCTAATAAAATGATGTCTACTCTAAATGTCTTGTGGGACTATGATAAATAAAATTATTCGTCATGACAATGGTGGATTGATTGTCACAATAAATCATAGTTGCCTCTTGGTTTTGCTTCATGTCTTCTAAAATTCTTTGCAACCATACTGCCTAACAAGCTGTTGAAGTTACAACCATGTATTCAGTCTCCGATAATGATAAAGCTGTAGATGCTTGCTTTTTTGAACTCCAAGATGTAACATTTGATCCCAAACTAAAAACATACTCTGTAGTGCTTTTGTGATCATCAACAAAATATGCCCAATCAGTATCTGAATATCCATGCAAATTCAAATTATCGGTGTTATAAAACAAATCATATAAAGTTGTTCATTTCAAGTATCTTAACACTCTTTTTGCTGCCCTATAGTGTATTTTGCTTGGTTTTGCATAAATCTAGTTGCTTGTAAGATGTCTGACTGAGTGTTAATAAGATGGAGTAGGCTGCCTTCTAAGCTTCGGCACATGAGCATCAACTTGTTTTTTTCCATCTTCAACACAACTTTTGATCAGTTGCCATGAAGTTTTTACTGAATAGCAATCTTGCAACTTAAACTTGCTTAGAAGATCATTTGCATACGTTTGTTGACAAATAAAAAATTCTGCATCATTTTAATGTATTTTTAGCCCTAAAGTGTAGCTCGTCAAACCCAAATTAGTCATATCAAACTCTTCAATCATAAGCTTTCTGAAATCAACCAGCAATGAAGGACTATTGTTAGTGTAGATTAAATCATCGATATAACGGCAAACAATAAGTACCTCATCAACTCCTCTTGCTTTTACATATAAGGTAGGTTCACTAGCACTTATTTAAAAACCATTGCTGCTGAAATGTTCATCAATCCTCGTATACCCGGCCCATGGAGCTTGTTTATAACCATAAAAAACCTTTTTCAATTTGCACACATTGTCTCTTACCCTTTCACTTCATAATCTGGCGGCGCTCCACATAGACGTTCTCATCCAGAAACCATTTAAGAAAGCTGATTTAACATGAAATTGATAAATACTTCACTTGTACTGTGTAGCTATAGTTAGAACAGCCATTCTGGTGTCAAATCTTGGTATCAGTGTAAACATCTTTTCAAAGTCAATACCTTTACGTTGCATGTAACCAAGAGCAACTAGCCGTACTTTATAGTTTTGAATTGAGCCATTAGGTTTGTATTTTAATTTATAAATCTATTTCAATCTAACTACTTCTTCACCTTTAGGCAATTCAACAAGTTGTCATGTTTTGTTTCATTCCAAGACCTTCATTTCTTCATCCATAGCATCACACCATTCTTTGAGCTTGCAGCATCTTTGAAGCAGTTAGATTCTTGAATTTATACAATTTGACAGCGTTTAATTCTTTGATAAATCTCCTTCAAAGATCCCCACTTCCTTGGAGGTGTATTACTTGAGGTTGAACTTGAAGATGCAATTGTTGGCAGACTGGTTGGGCTGGATGGATTGGAAGGATTTGAATCATCATCATTACAATTTGTTGGAGCTACTGGAGAATTATAATCGTCATCACTAGCTTCAAGCAATTCTGGACAGCCTTGTTTCTCATCCCAATTCTATTTACTTTTCTCATCAAACACTACATCACGGCTAATAATCAGCTTTTTAGTGATTGGATCATAAAAACGATACTATTTTGTTTCATCATTAGAGTTCACAAATATGCATTTGACACTATTTTCATCAAGTTTGTGTCTTTTTTGATAAGGATGAACATAAAAAATACAACTGAAAGTTTTGAAGTGAGTTACTTTTGGTTTCCACCCATTCTAAGCTTCAAAAGGTTTTTAATTTTGTAAGGCTAATGTAGGGATTCGATTGAGAAACTAAGCAACCGTTTGAACAGCTTTAGCCTAAAAACATCTTGGTAGAGCTTTCGCACTTAGCCATCTCCATTAGACTTCTATTCTTTCGCTTCGTTACATAGTTTTGCTAGGGTATGTAATTAGCTGTTAATTGTTTTTTAATACTGTAATTTTCACAAAAATTATTAAACTCAGTTGAAACAAATTCACTTCATCGATTAGTTCTGAGAATCTTCAAAGTATTTTCGCTTTGTTTCTCAACATAATTCTTAAACTTCTTGAAAATAGGCAAGGCGGCAGATTTTTCTTTCGCAAAATAAATCCAAGTCATTTTCCTGTGATCATCAACAAACACAACAAAATATAAATTATTATTAGTGAAGGAATTCTTGTAGGATTGCATAAATCGACGTGAACTAGCCTAATCGGACTTGATACTCTTCTTGCCAATCCTTTTGAAAATGCATCTTGACATTATTTTTCAAACATGTAACTTTCACATATGTTGTTCATGTACTGTATTACAAACAAACCATCCATCAAAGCTTGATTAGACAAAGATTTCAAGTTATTAAAGTTTAAATGTCCATCGCTGTGGTGCCATAACCAGCCATTATCATCTAAAGAGACTACAAGTGCTTGACATTTGCATTGCAGAAAGAGAGGAAACATGTGTTTCTTAGTTTTATAATAAAAAACATCACATAACATATCATCATAAACAAGTGCATGCTCTTCTCTTAAAAATTGTTCCATACTCAACAAACTTGAATTCAAGTCAGGTATATAAAGAACATCTT